GGTCTCTCTAGAACAAAGGCTTGAAGCAGAAGCTGATTCCGGTGGCGGGGCAGGGGAGAGAGTTTCAACCAGAGGGGAACCGTGAGGGGGAAGGCCTGAAGGCCAGAAACGGCAGAGACCTGCTGGGGACCCTTGGGTTGAGGCAGGGGAGCCGAGAAGTGAGCTGGTGGGCATTCGAGGCAGAGACCCAGCACCTGCAGAGGCCTGGAGCCTGGGAAGAGCATGAAAAGGAGCTCCAGAGGCCTGCAGCCCTGCCCCTCTGTCACAGCTCTATGCACGCTGGGGAGGCGTGTAGTTTCTACGTGACTCTGCCTTTCTCCAACTCCCCTACTCGACTGCCGGGTCTCCAGGCCTCTGTCATAGACCTGGCTCGGCCTAGACGCTCAAGACACATGTGCTGTGGACATTAATTGGAGTCAGCTCTTGACTGCTTTCTTCCTGAGTACTTTTTCTGGGCCATTCGCTGTGCCAGGTGCCGGGGACACGGTGGTGAAGTCCGTGGGTCCCTGTCCTCATGGGCTGACAAGCTAGAGAGGAGGAGCAGACAACTAAAAACAAGCACAAAGCATGGCGTCAGGCACTGAGACGCGCTAGCAGGGAAAGTAAAGCGAGGCAGGGTACAGGGAGTGGGGGGCCAAGGGGGCCATAAAGATAGGGTGGTGAGGTCAAGGCCTCTCTGGGGAAGTGACGAGCACGGTGAGATACGAATGAAGGAGTAGAATCGCAAGGAAAATGGGAAAAATTTGGGCAGTGACGTGATGCTGGGGGGCAAGGGGGCGGGCAGGGGGAGAGGCTTGATTTGTGGCATCTGGCAATTTCCCTGGTGTCAATATTCCTACCGTGGCTGATATCAAGCTACCGGTGTGACGGGTGGCTTTCAGCCTCTCTGAAAGTGACAGTTTAGCAGCCTCGACTAGGAAGGCAGTGATGGAGCAGGTGAGAAGGCACTGACTGGGTTTGTAATCCAAGAGGGTTTCCTGATGGCGGGTGTGAGGGAGTAAGAACGCGGGGAAATCTGAGATAGCCTCTAACTTTCTGTCCTGCGCACCTGGGCCAGGGGTCATGCCCTGTTGCTAATAGGCAAGCTGAGGGCAGCTCAGTTGTGGGGAGGGGGCCGCGTCGAGGGTTTCATTTGGACCTGAGAGACTCCACATGTCACTTGGACATCCAAGGGGAATGGCAGTTAGGCATTTGCAGCTGTTGGTGCCTGGAGTTCAAGGGTGCAGTCAGAGGTGGAAGTACGCATTTGGGGATCAATTACATTTGGATAGAACGGCAGGTACTGGGGCTTGAGGAGGATGCCCGGGGAGAGTGGTGAGCGGAGGACTGGCCCTCGGGCACCCCCGTGTTCAGGCGGGAGGAGAAGGGGAAGATCTGGCAAAGGAATGGTGTCCCAGCAGGAATGACCAGGGGTAAGGACACAGTCTCGGGAGTGGGGAGAGATAGGAGGCAGGGAGGCCAGCAGGGAGGAGGCCGGGCAGTGGTCCGGACCTGACAGGTCCAGCCAAGGGCAGAGGGGTGGAGGGTGGAGGACAGGGAGTGGTGACACTCAGGTGGGGCCCCTGGCTTCCCTGGTCCCCAGGAAATGGTGATGCTTGAGATCGAGGTTATGAACCAGCTGAATCACCGCAACCTGATCCAGCTCTACGCGGCCATTGAGACCTCGCACGAGATCGTCCTGTTCATGGAGTAGTGAGTGCTGGCAGTGGGGCAGGGGACCGGGTGGGGGTGCCAGCCGGCCCGGAAGCAAGCTTGTAGAGGGGTCTGTGCACACAGCATCGAGGGCGGCGAGCTCTTCGAGAGGATTGTGGATGAGGACTATCAGCTGACTGAGGTGGACACCATGGTGTTTGTCAGGCAGATCTGTGATGGGATCCTCTTCATGCACAAGATGCGGGTTCTGCACCTGGACCTCAAGGTACTGGAGCTGGGGCCTCCTGGGAGGGGTCAGGAGCAGCATCCGACCACCTGAAACCTGGTGGCAACCAGCTATCCCTCCGCCCCTCCCGTCGGTCCTTCTCTTCCTCCCTCCATCCTTGTATCTATAGATCCCGAAGGGTTTATTGAGTCTTCACTAAGTACCAGGAGCCAGGGCTACAAGACAGAGTGAAAGAGACTTGGTCCTAGCTCTCAGGGCGTCTAGTCTAGTGCTAAGTACACATCTCTTACAGTCCTGGGAGCCCCAAGCGCACGGTCTCACGCAATGAACTTGCTAAGTGTTGCTAACGCGTCCACCTCAGTGCTGGCCCCTTGTAGCCGCCGCGAGTGTTTATTGATTCATCCCACAAGTATTTGTGGAGGGCCTACTCTCTGCCAGGCAGTGTTCTAGGTGGTGGAGATCAGGAGTGAACAAAGCAGATAAAAACGCCTGCCCTCCGGGAACTTATGTTCCAGAAGGGGAGTCAGAAAAACAAATCAATTACGTATAGCATCAGTGCAGCAACACACACGTGATAGGCACTAACAAAAACGTTCAGTGAGAGGATATTCACATCCCTCCTCTGACCCTGCTCAGTAACTTGCAGGTAGGGAGTCAGGGACAGAGCGAATCGGGTTTATGCATCATGCCAGCTGTGGTCAACTGGAGCTCGGCGATGCCGGCCGTGGTGCAGAGTAAGCAGGGGCAGCGTGAGTGCTGGGTGTCACGTTTGCAGGATAATCGGCAGGGCTGGTGGAGAATACGGAGCATGACCACTGCGGTGGGTTAGCACTCGCTGGCCTCGTGGATAGTCCTTTCGCTCATTCACTCGACAAATATGTATCGAGTACCTGTGCCGTGCTAGGCTGCTTCTGTGCTGCTGTGCACGGTGCTGGGCACGGGCGTTACCATAGGGATGGTGAAGGACACGCCCCTTTCCCCCGGGGGGCCTACAGGTTAGTGGGGGAAACGGACCTTCCTCAAATAGATCACCTGAAACCGGAAAAGCGTTGTGAAAAGTACACGAGAGTAACGGGGGGAGACGTACGAGGTGAACTTGGAGGAGCATGCAAAGGCCAGAGCAGGCCCGGGGCTGGCCAGCACCCTTACCGCGGGCTCACTTGGGGTCAGACCTGTTTGGGGCGTATGCGCCTTCCGACAGCCCGCGGGGCGGGTGTGCTGTGAGCATCCGCCCTGACAAGTGAAGCCAGGAGAGTAAGGAGATGCGTTCCAACGGGCCAACGTGGCGGCAGGGAATCTGAGGGGTGGTTGTAATGACCAAGGGCCCAGAGGGTGGCGGCCGGGACCAGTGGCAGGGACGGAAGGTGGCCAGACGGTGGCTACATTCTGAAGCTAGAGCCAGTCTGATTTGCTGAGGGTTTGGATGTGGGAGGGGGCAGAGGGCAGGGAGAGGAAAGAGCAGGGTGACTCCTGAGTTTCTGGCCAGCGCTGGTGCCTGCACGTGGCATTGGAGGCCTCCCGTTCCCCCCCCCACCCCGTGAAAGCCACTGCCTCTGGGGTAGAGCAGGGTCCCCAGTTAAAATGAAGTGCCCTGGGAAGAAGCTCATTCTGAAGCCTCTCTATCCTGAAATGTGTTTTTTCAGGAGAGCAGTACGTTTCTCCTCGAAGAGGGGTTTTGTGGTCAAGTAAGCTGGGTGACCCATGGCCCGACGGCCCTTCCCAGGGCTCCTCGGGAACTCTCAGACCAGGAGGAGGTCTGAGTCTGTGTCACTTCCCCCAAAAGATCACACCCTGGGAGCTTTCTTTTCTTTCTCTGTTTTGTTCGAACACCAGGTGAGCGGGTGTCATTAGTGTCCTGCTCTGAGCGGATGCCTCGGTTCAGAAAGCGCCTTCAGAAAGCATGCTGTCAGGGTGCTCTAGTCAAACGCTACAGAGCCCAGATGTGTAACGGGGGCCAGGCCAGGGCCGTGAAGGCCCCCGGGGAACCAGGGGACTGACTAGCACCCGTCGGGGATCACTGACAACTCACCCCGAGCGGTGTGTGGCCATGAGGCGAGGGCTTCTGTTGTTTCGGGAGGTGCAGAAGATCTGGAAAGCAGGGTTTTTGTGTGAAGTCTCCTGCCTTTGAACCATTGTTAACTACCAAAAATGTTTCTGCCTTGCAATCTCAGATTAGCCCCGTGTCCTCGGGTTACAGGAGGAGAAAATGGAGGCCCAGAGCAGGGAGGGACCGGTCTCACAGGAACTTCACTCACACACTCGCCTGTGCTGGGGCCACAGGATTCCCAGGAGCCTTGGCTGAGCACCTACCCGGTGCCTTAGTTAGACATTGGTGGGGGGAACAGGGAGGCAGGGAGGGGACAGTCCTTGCCCTGGGAAAGTCCCTCTCTGGGCTGCGGGATCCTCATCTGTGCCTGGAACAGGCAGGCCCGGGGGGTCACTGATCGGCCGCCCACACCGGCAGCCTGGACTCTGCTCCAGAGAGCCCGAGACATGGGTGGACCTGGGTGGGGACGACGGGTGAGCCAGGTCAGAGGTCAATCCGGGCCACCCCCTTCTCCTCAGCCAGAGAACATCCTGTGTGTCAACACCACGGGCCATTTGGTGAAGATCATTGACTTTGGCCTGGCACGGAGGTACCACCTCAGTGGGGGCGCGGGGGGAGAGGGGAAGGGCAGGGCAAGCCTCTGAGGTGGGCAGGGGGCAAGGGAGGAGCGGAGGGTGCCGGCACACGGGCCGGGGTCTGCACTCTGAGCTCTTGCTCTCACCCCCAAGGTATAATCCCAACGAGAAGCTGAAGGTGAATTTTGGGACCCCAGAGTTTCTGTCACCTGAGGTGGTGAATTATGACCAAATCTCCGATAAGACAGACATGTGGAGTATGGGGGTCATCACCTATATGCTGTGAGTCCTGAGAGAATGTGGTGTCTGTGGGTACTGGGCATGTGGGTGGGCAGCTGGGGCCAAAATTGGCCCTGGGGTCCTGGTGGGGTAGGTCCCATCTCTCCACTCCCTCAGGAAGGGGGTTGCTGGGGTTGGGAGTGCTAGGGAGAACCAAGAGAAGGGAACTTTGTACCCATTTTATAGATGGAGAAATGAAGGCCCCTAAAGGCATAGTGTCCTAGCCTAAGGCTCTGGACAGCAGACCTTTATGACTCAGGGTGGGGGCAGAGGGGCAGCAGACATCTTTTATGCACTCATCATTCCTCTTCTCCATTGTAACCTGGGAAGCTGGGATGATTATGCCCATTTTACAGATGAGAAGAGTGAGGCTCAGAGAGGGGAAGTGACTTGCCCAAGGTCACCCAGCCAGTCAAACCCAGGTCTGTCCCACTCAAGAAGCTGGGGGTCGGGGCACCTGGGTGGCTCAGTCAGTTGAGTGTCCCACTTTGGCTCGGGTCATGATCTCACAGTTCGTGAGTTCGAGCCCCGCGTCGGGCTCTGTGCTGACAGCTCAGAGCCTGGAGCCTGTTTTGGATTCTGTGTCTCCCTCTCTCTCTGCTCCTCCCCTGCTCACATGCTGTTTCTCTCTCAAAAATAAATAAAGATTAAAAAAATAATGATAAAAAAAAGAAGCTGGGAGTCTTTTCAGCTCATGGTGCTGCCTTCTAGGGTCTGCCTCCATCCCCTGAGCCCCCAAAGGTGACTCAGGGTCCCCAATTTCATCTCCCTGCCCCCTGACATCCCCTCTCTCCAGGTTGAGTGGCCTCTCCCCCTTCCTGGGAGACGATGACACAGAGACCCTAAACAACGTTCTCTCTGCCAACTGGTACTTTGACGAGGAGACCTTTGAGGCCGTGTCTGATGAGGCCAAAGACTTTGTCTCCAACCTCATTGTCAAGGACCAGAGGTGAGGCTCACCCCAGGACACAAACCCCGTCTGTGCAAGCCCAGTACTTGCGTGCCTGTGTGTGTATGTGTGTGTGTGTGTGTGTGTGCGCGCGCACTGCAGGGCAGGAAGAGGGCCGGGCAGCGGCTGGGCTCTGGTGTTTCACAGGCATTCCGCCCATCCTCACCGCACTGCCCCCTCCCACAGGGCCCGGATGAGCGCTGCCCAGTGCCTCGCCCACCCCTGGCTCAACAACCTGGCAGAGAAAGCCAAGCGCTGTAACCGCCGCCTCAAGTCCCAGATCTTGCTTAAGAAATACCTCATGAAGAGGCGCTGGAAGGTACCACTGGACACGGTGGGGAGGAGGGAGGGGCT